TGGAGTTGCATCTGGCAGGTGCTCAAGAAAACAGCTGAGTCCTTCATCATGTCCAGAGTGGGTGTGGAGGCAAGTCACATGTTGGCAGCAGAGAGTCTTTATGGCCCCTTGGTGACATTTCCATGTTAGGATTTCAGCCTATAGCTGGCTGGTTCTTTGCAAGACAGTCTTTGAGAAGTAGATTCTGAAGTATCTGGCCTAGGCCAAAGCCGTGCTGTCTTGAGCCTCTTACTCACCTGACCGGGACAAAGTTCCTTGTTTAAAAATAAAGTAAAAAGGGCCTCCCTGGTGGCGCAAGGTTAAGGCACAACCTATGAAGCTATCCGCAGCCACTGCAGCACGAATTTGATCCCTGGCCAGGGAGCTACCCACATGGCATAGCAGACCTCTCCTGACTCGCCCGCTGCTCCCCTCAGCAGTGTATTTCAGTCAGTCTGCCTGTTCTGTTCCCCACTCTGTCTCTGGTGACTCCTCTCACCCCCTACACCTCTGGCCTGTACCCCAGCTCTTGTATGCATAAATAATAAATAAATCTTTAAAATAAATAAAATAAAAAAATCCAATCTTGGGCCTCCCCGGTGGTGCAACGGTTGGGAGCTGGGTTGCGAGGCTGCCTGCGGCCTCTGCGGCGCCGGTTCGATCCCCGGCTGCTCCCCGGCCACCGGAGGAGGGTCCCACATGGTGCACAGACCTCTCCTGCCGCCCGCTGCTCCCCTCAGCAGTGTACTTCGGTCCTTCTGCCTGCTCTGCTCCCCGCTCTGGCTCTGGTGAATTCTCTCACCCTCCCGCGCTTCTGGCTATACCCAGTGCATGTACAAACAAACAAATAAATAAATAAAAATACATGCCTCTTTTAAAAAAAAAAAAATCCAATCTTTTCTAAGGGGCTTCTGTGTGCCAGGTACCAGGCCAAGTGCTTAGTGGCAAACACATCAAGCTTCACTGCCTCAGAAATACTGGCCCTTTGCACATGCTTTTCCCTCTGCCTGGGATGTTTTCTCACCCCTTCACAGCTCGCACTCCCTTGGCCTTCAGGTCTTAGCCCAAAGATCACTGTCAGAGAGGCCTGACCCGCACTCGGGCCCCACTCTGACCAAGTGCCCCTTTGACACATTCTCGGAGAATCCCAGCGTTGTCACTCCTTGGCTGTGTGACTTGGGATAACTCACGTCACCTTAGTCTCAGCGCTTCACCGAGATGTGCACATTTTATGGAACCTTATACTACGGTGGCTCCTGCTGGTGCTCATCAGGCTGTGCTCACACAGTTTGCTTTTGGATGCCTCATTCAAGTTTGTCCCCTTGGAACGGGAGCTCTATGGACACAGGGGCCCTCCCAGCTCACTCACCTCTTCACCAGGGCCTGGTACAGAGCTTGGCACATGGGGAGTGACTTTGCACAATCAGTGATGAAGGAATAATGATAAAAATAAAAGTTCTGAGCACTTAGTTTGTGCCATGCTCTGTAACACTTCTTATAAGTGTCTAATTTAATTTCCATAACAACCTAGGTGGGACGTGAGGAACATCACTGTTCCATTTAAGCTCAGGAAGCTGAGAGGCTGAGCGGTGAAATGACTTAATCATAGTCACAGAGCAGGAAGGACTGAAGTCAGGACTTGGCAGTGAGTCTACCCCTGTCCACATGACATGCTCTTAATTAGGATGCTACACCGAAGGGGAGGGGGAGCCTATGTGGAAAGGTTAGGGGCAAGGAGTGTTGGGGGTGAGGAAAAGGAGGCCAGGGCCAGCCAATGCTTTTAGGCTTGGTCTAGCTGAAGAGTGGGGGCAGGAGAGGGGGGTGGGGGGAGCCTGGGAAGTTTCATTACACCAGGAGACTCCCAGTAACATCATCTTGTCTCAAATGCTTTTTAGAAAAAGCACTTGTTTTACTCTACTTCTATACTTTTCTTCTGATTATAACATTAATCCATGTTCATTAGAGAAAAATGAGAAAATCTGAAAACTTTATTATAAAGACGTAACTACCCTCAACTTGGTGTATTTCCTCCTGCATTTTCCCCATGCATCCTGTAGATACCTTTCCCACAAGACTGGAAACAAATCATATATTCAGTTTTGTGTCATCTTTTATTCACTTAAAGTGATGTTATGGGTATTTTCCCACCCTGTTAAATATTCATTGAAAAACTTGATTTTTATAAAAGCAATTGGGGTTTTTCTCATAAAACCTTGTAGAAGAGATGGCTAACACACAACTATCTGAAAAGTTCCTCATCATCTCACCCCCCTGAGAGGTCATTATCCATTGTTTTCTTTACAGAACTTGAATTCCTATGCACATAAATGATACAGATACAGATGCATGCACACATCTATTCTTTTTTAAAGAACCAAATTCCCTCAGGTTATAGGGAAACATCTTCTAAGGCAAGACCTACATACACATTCAGATGCCTGCAGATCCCAAGCAAGTGACTGAGATGAAGAGGCGCCACCTCAGGCCATGGGGAAGGAGACATCAAACATGAACAAATACAAGAGCAAGTTTTAGCCCCTTGTTGCCATAGCAGAATTCAGGCCCACTGTTACCAGCCCTCGTGATTTTCTAAAAGAAGCTATAAATCCAGTTTAAGTGAAATAGTAAGTATTGGCCACTAATTCCAAAAAAAAATGTGAAAACAACATGGTGATTTATTATAACAAAAAATGTAGAGGGAGGAAGAGATGAAGAGGCAATCTAACTTGAAGAGACCAATGACAATGAGTGGACTTTATTTGCATCTTCATTTAGACAAACTGGAGGAAAGCATATTCTCATATATGTCTGAAGTCCTTAATTTTTAGAGCCATGCTGAAATTTTTTCAGAAGAAATAATATATCCAGGATTAATTCAAAAGAATATATGAGTTGGTAGGGGTATCAATGAAACAAGACTGACCATGAATTGATAATTGTTGGTTTAGGTAATCAGCATCCATACTATTTTTATGTCTAGTTTTCAAAAATAAACAGATTTTAAAAAGGAAAAAAACATCAGCAGGCCAAGCAACCAGCTCTAGTCAGAATCAGCTGGCTGAGCGCTTTGCAGACTCTGCCAGCATGAAGGGGGTGACAGTAGGGAGTAATGTAGCAGACTCTCATCAGGGGCTAGGGAGTGCTTTTTTAAATGTCTGTTCATTACCATAACTTAATTTCACATTTGGAAAAATCAAAGAGGAAGAAATTTTTTCCCATGATATAAAATACAGAAGTGATATAAATTTCATTTAACAAGATCTTGGCTAGAAAGGTCTGTTTTTTTTATAAGGCTGAGAAAATTTTTAACTTTCTCTTGTTTTACATATGGTTAAAAAGAGTATTTTTATCACTAAAAAGACTTCAAAACATTTTAATGACTTTTCCTGATTTATTATTCAAAGTGGCAACCGGTCTCTTTTAGAGACTTTACTCATTGATTCATCCAATAAACTACATAATAATGCAGGCTGCTTTTCAAGCACTCTGCTAAGCCCTGAGAATATGGTGGTAAACAGACTGGCATAAACCCTGCCCTCCAGGGACTCACTTTGGGATTGGCCAGACAGTCAAGAAGTAATCTACCAAAGTGTGAAGACCTGTATGGCTTCTTTACTTAACTGTAACACATGTATCAAGAACATTTTTCATGTCACTAAAAATAGATTTTTTCTGACTGTTACTCTAAAAGACAAAAAAACCCTTACGTTTCCTGCCCTATACAATGAGGCAATCTCTTATAGAAACCTTATACATTCAATGTTGGAGTGCTTACCAGGCCCACACCAGACTTTTTCAGAGGAAACATTTGTTGAAGAATCCAGACTCAGGAGCCAGACAGTCCAGGTCCAAGGCACAGCTTTGCCATTTAGTTGCTGTGTGATGTTGGTCATATTCCTTAACCCCTTTGTGCCTCAGCTCCTTACTTTGCTAAACAGTGGATAATAACAGTACAGGTTGTGTGGGAATTAAATGAGATAACACTGAAAGCCATTTTAAGGTAGCAGCTATCACACAAGTAAGGCAAATACAAGGGTTTGCTCTTTCTCTTGGAAGCATTTGTTCTAGTTGGGGAGGGAGACAATAAAGGATTTTCAAATGCCTTTTTTTTTTTTTTCATTTTCTTACATCAATGTTCTCCCTTCAGATGCAATCCCCATAGTGCTCCCACCACCATAGCACCCATGAACCATCACCATAGTCCTTCATGCTCTTCTCTCCCCTCCTCTGAACCCTCTCCCCACCCTTCCCCTGCTGTATGCCTCAGATCTATGGTCAGCTTGCAAGTTTTGTCTTTTTCCTAACCCTTTGTTTGCTTTTCCTATGTTCCACCTATAAGTGAAACCATTCAGGTTTTTTTTTCTTATTTCACTTAGCATAATCCCTCCCAGCTCCATTCCATAATGCTGCAAATGGCATGAGTTTATCCTTTTTGATTGCTGAGTAGTATTCCATCAAATGCCCTTTAAATCTTCAAAAGTATGAAAACTGAGGAGGGACGGGTGAAGGGAGAGAAAGGAAGAAAAAAATGAGGTGGGGAAGGAGGAAAAAGGGCCTTATCTACCCATACTTAAAAGTCCAGGAGTACCCCCTTATCCTGGATTGGGGATACATCCCAAGAGCCCCAGTGGCTGCCTGGAACCGGGGATCACACTGAACCCTATATCTGCACACCTATAATGAACTTCATAAACTAGGCACAGTGAGAGACCACCGACAACCAATAGTTAGGCGGATCAATTGTGACAGTATTCTGTAGTTATGTGAATGTGGCCTCTCGCGGTCAACACAATGTATGCAATGTCTTCTACCACCACAGGCCACGGATAAGGGGGTGCTAGTTATGTCAGTAAACCAGATCATGCTCCATCATTTCTGGGCACCTGCAGTTCTCGAAGAAGCTCGCTTAACCAAAATAAAAAATAAAAAAATCGGGGCGGGGCGGGGCAGATGGAGGCCTGCGGGTGGGCAGCCCCGACGGCCCTGGTCACGCCTCACCCGTGCCTTCTGTCCCCGCGCAGAGAGCGCCTTCGCCGACACGCTGACGCCCGCGCGCCTCAGCCAGGCCCGCTTCAGCGCCTGCCTGCCTCCCAGCAGCCACGACTCCGCCAACTTCGACAACAACGAGCTGGAGAACAACCAGGTGGTGGCCAAGCTGGGCCACCTGGCGCTGGGCCGCGCCCCGGGCCCGCCGCCCGCCGACGCCGGGGCCGCCGCCATCCCGTGCGGACCCCGCGAGCGCCCGCGGCCCGCGTCGTCGCCGGCGCTGCTCGAGGCCGACCTGCGCTTCCACGCCACGCGCGGGCCCGACGTGAGCCTGTCGGCCGACCGCAAAGTGGCCTGCGCGCCGCGGCCCGAGGGCGGCCGCACGCTCGTCTTCTCCGAGCGCCCGCTGCGGCCCGGCGAGAGCCTCTTCGTGGAGGTCGGCCGTCCCGGGCTGGCGGCGCCCGGCGTGCTGGCCTTCGGCATCACGTCGTGCGACCCGGGCGGGCTCCGGCCCGCGGAGCTGCCCGCCGACCCCGACGCGCTGCTCGACCGCAAGGAGTACTGGGTGGTGGCGCGCGCCGGGCCCGTGCCCAGCGGCGGGGACGCGCTCAGCTTCACGCTGCGGCCGGGCGGCGACGTGCTGCTGGGCGTCAACGGGCGCCCGCGCGGCCGCCTGCTGTGCGTCGACACCACGCAGGCGCTCTGGGCCTTCTTCGCCGTGCGCGGGGGCGCCGCCGGCCAGCTGCGCCTCCTCGGTGAGTTTCCCCACGCCGGACTGCGCGTGCGCGCCCTCTCCCCTCCCCTCACGCGCCCCTCCCCCTCCCCACCGGTTCTCAAACTCGAACCGCTGCAGACCCGCCCATTTTCCGTGTTCAATTTCCAGTGCGGTCTGGGTGGCCAGGCCCGGAGGACTCATTTTTTTAATTTGTAACCCCGGGGATACCAGGTTGCTTCACCCATAGCCACACTTTGTAAACCACCCACCTTAGTGCTTATCAGGGTCAGGACCAAGCAGGCTTTATGCATCAGTAAATGGTTGGGGCGGGGAGGGGGGTGAGGGTTTATTTCCTTTATGATTTACTATATTAGATTAAAAAATATGTAATGCATACCAAATGAAGGAGTAAAATAAACGCAGTTATACTTAAATGAGGAAATAAAAATAACACCGTCTACAGAAAATGGAATGGAGGTTTGATGCATCCTAGTTTGAGGCGATCGTTGCCTTCATGCCACAGATTCCAAGTGTCCACTAGTTGTGGGCCAGCCCGTGGATTCCAGGTTGGGACAGGTCACAGAACACTTGCTCACAGAGACATGAAAGCACAGCAATATGTATACAATAAACGGGGTTCTCTTCCATCTTGGTGGAGCCAGGGTGGTCTGGGAAGGCCTGGTTGAACCATGGCTCTTGGTTCAAATGACAATAACAATGAACATTTCATAAATTACCTCGCTTGGGTTTATTCTCCTGATGAAGCCAGTATCATTGCCCCCATCTACCAATAAGAAAAAGCACAGAGAGATTAAATGATTGCCCCAGAGGCATCCCTCTGGCCAGCCATGAAGATGCTGGGTAAATCACAGATCCTCCTTGAGCCCCAGCTTCCTTCTGCGTGGAAAGGCAGTGTTTCCCTCCATCATGGGGTTGTCTGAGGATGAAATGATGAGGTGTATGTACTTCCAGCAGGTGTCTGCTTACTAATACAACAGAAACAGCTGCTGTTTTGTTGAGGGCAGAGTGGTGGTAGTGGCAGTTTTCTTGGTTTAGGGGTTTTGTTTTTTCTTTTTTAGGGACAATCAGACATAGTTCTCTTTTCAGCTGGAGATGAGTTGCCCAAGTTCCCATCAGGGCTTTGTAAGAACTAAGCCTGGAGTCCTTCCCCCTCTTCCAGCACCTTCAGAAGAATCAGGCTGTGCCGTTGAGTGGTCAGGGAGAGAAGGCAGGAGGTAGAAAGGAGGCAACTGCTTTTTAAGGCCTGGGACTTGCCTCCTGACCCTACCTCACAGCAGCTCTGCTGCTGCATTCTCTATCCATCCATCCTCAAGTAGGGTAAGGGAAGGGACGTCTCTGTTATTATCTGAACTGGCAGTGAGTTTGGGGGGAAAAGACTCATCCATGTTGAACACCACTAGTCAGGAATCTTGTAGTTGCAGATGACGAAAGCCAGGGATTCAAAGTGCAATGGGCAAAGTAGGAAACTTATGGGTAAACATACTTCGAATGTCTGGGTGTATATTGGATGGATTCAGGAACAGCTGGATCTAGGTGTTGAGAGGCTGTCATCAGGCTCCCATCACAAAGCTGTGTTAACTTTACTCTTGGGAAGACTCTACAGTGTTCAACTTAACTCTCAATCGAATGAGCCCCTTCTTTTCCAACATTTTTAGTGAAAGTCACAGAATTAGGTCCCTTTCACCTTACTGGGGTTACACGCCTTTCCCTGAACTGCCATTGAAAACAAGGGGTGGAGGTTGTTAATGGTCTGCCTTGGATTATCTGAGTGACGGCTGAGTAGTGACCCCCCCCCAAACAAAACCCCAGTGCTGCTTCTGAAATAAAGTGGAATAGAGGCTGGGCAGACCCTAGATAACAGGTGTCCCCCAAACATGTCTAGTTCCATCAGTCTTCAGCAGATCCTATGAGGCAGCTCACATCCTCCCATTAGGCAGATGAGGATGCTGATATGCAAAGCAGTGGGGAGCCAAGCACTAGCAGGGTGGTGCCCAGCTTCCACTGCCCTTAATGGAGTCTTTTTGATCCCAGGCACCCTGCAGGCCAGCCCTGCCACCACGTCTCCATCAGGCTCCCTCAGCGGCTCCCAAGACGATAGTGATTCTGATATGGCCTTCAGTGTCAACCAGTCCTCCTCAGCATCTGAGTCATCCCTAGGTAAGGACATGTAAATCCCAAAGGTGATAGGGGTGGCAGCCAGCCTGGACCCTTTCACTCTGCCCTTGGCCTTCCCAGGTCCAAGCAGGGTGACCCACATCTTCCTCCTATCCAACTCCCGGCATCCTCTCCTTCCTCAGTTGCACATTCAGCTGGAGGGAAGAGAAACACCTAGATATGACACCCCTAAGGGCGATGATGGTGCTTGATGATTGGGAGTAGGAGGGAAGGGAAAAGGGCAAAACCCCAAATTGGTATCTCCTAAAATTGTTCCCCTACGGGCTGTGCCATAGAAGCTCTGGCTTCTTGGGGTTGCCCCAGCAGAACCCACCTGGGAACCACACTATTAAGTGCTGTCCTGTCCTCTCTTCCTGCAGTGACGGCCCCCAGCTCCCCGCTGAGCCCCCCAGTGTCCCCCGTGTTCTCCCCACCGGAGCCAACCGGCAGCAAGAACAGCGAGTGCACAGTGTGCTTTGACGGCGAAGTGGACACAGTCATCTACACGTGTGGACACATGTGCCTGTGCCACAGCTGCGGCCTGCGGCTCAAGAGGCAGGCCCGGGCCTGCTGCCCCATCTGCCGGCGGCCCCTCAAGGACGTCATCAAGATCTACAGGCCATAGCCCGGCCCCCTCTATGGGCCTTGGCGGGAGCAAGGTCATCTTTGTGAAGCCCCCCCTGGGCTGGGCAACCACCACGGCTGCTGGGGAGTCTGAGGGCAGCGGCCACCTGTCCCACCGTTCTCCAGCGGTAGACAAGGCGTGACAGTCGGAGGGGCAAAGGCCCTGGGGGCCTGAGCCCAGGTGAGGGTGGCTTCTGGCTCAAAAGGGCTTTGCTCCAAAAAAGCCATCCCAAAAGCAAGCTCAGGACCACCTGGCAGACCCGCCCCGGACCGGAGACCTCTCAGCTGGGAAACAGCATCCTCTGTCCTCTGTGCAATGCTTTTGGCTGGGGTTGGGTTGAGTATTCATGAGAGGGGAAGGGCAAGTAGGGAGACATAGAGAGAGTGAGAAAGAGGATGTGTGTGAGAGTGAGTGAGAGAATGCCTAGGTATTTATCCAGGGATCCTAACTCGGGGGGTTATTTAACACTAAGGAACGTGCAATCCAGGGCCCAGACATTACAAAACTAGAAATTGCTCACTTTCGGGGCTGTGACATCAGCTGGTTTTGAATGTATGAAGCCTGCACCTAAAGAGAGCTCCCTCAGATGGTATGGAAGAGGGACACTCAGATTTTCTAAGGGGAGGAAAAAATAGCTCATTGTTTACAGCTCCAAAGCAGCAACTCCTGGGGGGAAGGTGGGCGGAGAACATAAAAGAACAATTTGCTTTTTTCATTTCTAACTCGGTCTTGGAGAGGGGTTTTGATGGGTGCTGGGGCCCACAGTTCTGGGCAGCGTCATCCCCAGAAGCCTTTTCACCCCTGCTCCCCCACACAGCCTAACAAGCACATGGCACCGTGACTGGGTCTCTGGATGTTTTCAGTGCATATCATCCCATCCCTGGCTCCAAGGAGAAGCCAAGCACCAGCTTCACTTTTTCTGGGGGAGGAAAGGAATCCAGAGGCCAGTGACTCACCTGAAGTTGGAAAGAGTGCTCAGTGGCACAGACCAGTCTCCACATTTCCAGTTGTCCAGCTGTGGGCATAATCAGGGCAACCTGCTGGCAAGGGAGGAGGAGCAACCAGGCTTTGGAACTGGTCTTTGTTCTGGTTCTCAGCTTCCCTTCTCCTGCTGGTCACTAAGGTGGTAATTGATCATTAAGACGTTAACTAATAACTGAGACATTAATTGAAAATACTGACCTTGTGATTCTGCCCCCTGCCCAGGACTCTGCCAGGTGTTTCCTGGAGCCCTAACCCCCTGCCCCAGGCCCACCTCTGCAGACTCCCAGGCCATACCTGTCTGTTGGGTTAGCCCAGCCTACTGCTGCCTTCTTGCCCCAGTTCTGGGCCAGCCTTTGCCCTGTCCTGCCCTGCCCTGCGTTGTACCCTTAGGAAAGTGCCTGGGCTTGTTTCTCAGTTCCCAGTCTGTCCAGGAGGAAGCCCAGTGTCTGCTCACTCCAGAACGCTTGGGAGGAAGGGTGTGACGTTCTGAAAAGCCCCACACACTGGTGAAGAGCAGGCATCATTTTGATACAATTCCTTATCTCTTCATCGGCTGAGAGAAGCAGGGAGCGAGAGCTTTTGGAGAGCTCATGCATTCACATAACAAACATTCGCTGGGTCTCCAGAGGCCCAGAGCCCAGCTGGGAGGGGCCCTTGTTATAGCATGTCCCCCTAAGACCAGTCAGTCTGTGCCCTGTGATGTTCCAGGTTCTTGGATGAACTGCTACTTCTCAGCCTGGAAGTGTGTTCTGGTCTGATCTCAACTTCAGAAACCCCATTCTTGCCCCTGCAGGAACCCCTCATTGTTTTTCTTAGTGAGTTTGGGAAACAAGTCCATGTTTTAATTTTGCAGCAGAGTAGCTGGGGGATATACTGGAACCCCAGCCACACCCATGGTAAGAGTTTGGTGCTTGGCTGAACTTGGTCAACTGGAGAATTCCATCCCATTCCCACCCCTGCCTCTTGTGCTGGGTGTGGGCAGAGCCTCCCTCAGATCCCCTTTGACAGACCCCCAGACTGTGGTTCTCCAGGACAGTCTCCTGACTGGATCGAGCCCCAGTCATAAGCCTGGGTGGTCTCAGCAGCCTGGGTAGTCAGCCCTTCTCTCCTGCTCTTGCTGGCTCACCCGAGGCTTGACAGCCACCACCAGGAAAGCAGTGACCGTGGTCCAGGCCCCACGGTGCTCCTGGTGACCTGTCACCGGGGAAGAAAGGCGCCGGTGGCCTGTTTAACTTGCTCTGCAGCTGCTATAAATAGCCTCCGTTTCCAAGAGGAATTAAGGGGGTGTTTATCTTCTAAAAACCAGACATTTCCTGATGCTCCAAGCTGATTTATTCAGTACAACAGAGGAGCCTCTCACATCACCCTCTATGTTCTGTCTGGAGAAAGGGAGCAGGAGAAGGAGGAAAGGGAAACGCTGTTTTTCATTTTGCACCGCGGCACTTCCCACATCCATCCCGCCAGGCAGGACCATTACCATCCTGAATGGTACCTAAGATACCATATAAAACACACATTTAGGTGCCACTAAGGGAAAAGGCACAGCCAAATTTAAAATGCCACAGCTGTACCATTCATTCTAATCAGAGATGTTGAGCTGTGCTACTTAGAATCCAGATAAGGTATTCTCCCCACATGGCAGGTCAGAGAACTGCCGAGTCCCCGAGAGCGAAGCAACTTAGGGTCACACAGTAGGATCCGGCAGAACTGGGGCTCAAAGTAGCTGTTGCCAAGTCCTACACACTCCATTGCTTGGTCCCGAGTCCCACAAAGCTTGAAAAAGCCTGAGTTTCTTTCTGGAACCTCATGTGGGCAACCCCTGGATCAAGAGGTTGGGTACCTGCACCTGTGTGAAGAGTTTCACCCCCCCAGGCTGAGGACCCTTCGCCACCCATTCCCTGGCAGGACAAGTGTCCTTTCTTTCAGGCTCAGGTGCCCACTGTCCACCTTCTCCTGGCAGACCTGAGCTATGTGAGAGCTTGGGTCCATCCCGAGATCCTCCTCTTAAACCAGGGTGCCCAGGTTTGCAACATGCAGGAGGAGCCAAAGACCTTGTCCCACTACCATCCTGGGCCTCATGACCACTACCCTCCCCAGGGGTAGAATCGGGGAGACCAGAGGGTACACTCTTTGTTGTGGTCTTGTGCCTGTTCATTTTAAACCACTGGAGAAGCTGGGCTGTTGCTAAGTTAAAACAAGCTCCTTTTTTCTAGTCCATTCCCAGAACTGGGAGTCTTCTGGGATTTAACTGATGAGAGCTGCTGCTCCCCTAACTGTAGCAACAATTTTTCAGTCATTCAACACCCACCAATCAACATGATGTGTTCTGGACACAGAACTGGGAACTGGGAAAAGCCCACGGGGAACTCATAGTTCAGGGAAGGAGATGGATAGATCTGTCAGCTTCTATTTGACCCTCCAGTGCTAACTGTGCTAGCACATAGTAGGTGCTCATTAAAGGCTTACTGAATAAATCAGAAGTCAGATTAAGATTGTGCAGACATTTAGCAAAACAGCACCGTGTGTATATACACAGCAAAGTCATTCAACAAATGTTTGCCACTAGATGGGGTTTGGGAGGACGGACCTGAGATGACAGCACCCCACTTCTGACATCAGAGGTAAGGTGATGTTTAGAGGACAGTGAGGCATTTGGGGCAGATGCCCACAGGCCAAGAAGGCCCATTTGGTTGCCTCAGGAGTCTTGCCTGTGTGCCCAAAGCCTGCTTTTCTGACCAGAGCCCCCGCTTGCTTCCAGCAGCCTCCTCTGCAATAGAAATGCCAGGCATCTTGCAGTCAGTGAATTGCTGCCACGGGGCCTTGGGCAGCACCTCCACCTCTCCCCCTTTAGATCACCCTCAGGTCCTGCCAGGAAGATGTGGTGTAATGGCTACCTGCCACTTTCAGGCCTTGGGACTGGCTGTTGAAAGTCAATCCCCAAGTCCCCAGAGAACCCCCAGTCAGTTCCAGTTGGAAACTGGAGTGTGCAAAGTCTTGGAGGAGGAGAGGCAGTAACCTGCTGCTTGATCCTGCGTCTGCCCTCACTCTGCCAGAGGGATACCGGCTCAGGAACACGGCCTCCTGGCATTCTCGGGAGTTCATTGTCTCACTGTCTTTTCCAAGTCCCTAATGCGATGATTTGTACAACAATCTGTCTGTGCCTTATGAAAGTGTCTGTGCACTTTTTTATCCTTTTTAAAAACAACTTTTAAAAAAAGTGGGCAGGGGACTAGCATACAAGGTAGTATTCTAGAAATCCTTGATAATCACTGAGACCCTTTTGCATTATGTTTTTAATGTTGGAGTGAAGTGTATGCCCCTCCCCCCACTACCTGTGTACAGACCTTTTAAAAAATGTCTCTTCTTTTTATTTTTCTGATTCAATACTGTGACCTCTCCAATACAGTCTAATCTTTGGGGCTCTGTATAGTGGTTTTAAAACTTGGGGGAAGTGGGATGGGAAGGGTTTGCACTGGTCTTGTGTGTTGTGCTTTTTGTGTGTGGTGTTTTGATTTTTGTCTGTTTGTATCTGTTTTATAGAAACATCATTTTCCTGTTTAAAAAAAAATACAACTTTGGCTTGTTAAAAAAGAAAATCTCTTCAGAACTCAATTTTAAACATTATGGGTGGGGGGGGAGCGGTGAAGGTGAGGGACACAAATCATTGCCAGCTTTGAGGAAACCATTTGCAAAATTTCTGTAGAGCCCTGCCAAGGTCTGATCTTTTTGTCAAGTAACTCCTGTAAAAATATCACAAGTACTTTCAATCAAGGTAAGCTCTGGATGTGAAGGTGTTCATTGTGGCGTCGTAGATTATGGTGAAATGCTAGAGGGAACCCAGAAGTCCAACAACCAGGGTGTACTTGCCAGAAGGCTCGGTTACAAGAGATGCAAACCCAATGCCAACTGGCTGTCAGGAGACGAAGAAGTTCAGGTAATTGAGAAATCCAGAAACAACCTAAAAATCCCCTTCAGGTGCAGTGGGTTCCAGAGTGGGAGATGGTCTCTCCCCATCTGGGTCTGCCTCTATTCCAGCCCCACTCCCAGCAGGTCCAGGCGCCAGCCCAGGCTGCATCCCGCTTTCCAGCCATCTCTCCGCGGGCCAACCTGGGCTACGTGCCCCTTCCTGAGCCACTCATGGAGGCCAGGGAGACGGGCTGATTGGCCAGATCCAGAAGGTGTGCTGGCCTCCACCCACTAGCTGCCAGGGTGGGAAGAGCGGGAATTGTCCCCACTGGGAGGAAGTTGGTCCAATGAAGAAGGAATACTGGGCGGGCGGAATACCAGCCCTCTCTCTAAGAAAGGTTGAATATACCATGATGCAAATACGGACCTGGTTAATTGCGTGGTCTGTGCAACCAGACAGCCTGGGCTTCCCCAAGACATGGTATGAGACACTTAGCCTCTTTGTGCCTCAGTTTCCTCATCTGCAGAGCAAGAATAATACGAGCTCTTGATTTCAGGATGAGTGTGAGCATTATTACCATCCTGCTGGTGATATGCTAGGCACAGCGTCTGGTACTCAGCAATAAGAGAAGAGTTTATAACACGGCAACATGTTTATGTTAAACTATGGTGGAAAAATCAAGATATAAAGCCACATATACATGCTGAGCTCAGTCAACAGCCCCCCAACCAAACAGACATTGGGATGACTGGCAGGAAAGATGCAAAATGTCCTTAGGGGCTTTATGACAGCTGGTGCCTACCCCACCACCCAGGTGTTTTACAAATTTTCTAGCATGACCAATTTTTGCTTTTAGTTTAATATTTATTTAGAAAAAGTATCGCCCTACTCCATTAAAAAAAAAAAAATGACAAGAATAGCTGGCCCTCGCTGGAATTCCTGAGGAATTCCCAGGCTGATTGTCTGGTTTAAGATCTAAATTTAGTCCTGGTGGAGATAAGTTTTTAAGGGAGGTAGGGCCAGGTTGACCAGTTTGGTGCAGCTTTCTCCAGGCAGGCCTTTAGGATGCAGATTTCTGGGGTGGAGCTTTGCAGTGGTATGGGGAGTGAGGGAGTAGGATGAATGCCAAGAAGCAGCCCTGCTCGCCCTGGCTGGCTGCAACAGCCTCACAAGGCGACAATGAGCTTTAGGAGCAAGAGAAATAAACCAGCCATTAATGAGTAGAAGAAACCAGGATTTTCACACAGTCTTTCAGTGAATCTTCACAACAATATTTGTTTCCTCATTTTATAGGTGAGGGATCCAGGGTCCCTCCAAGGTAGAGGCAGGATTGGCGCCCAGGTGTACCTACTCCAAAGTGAAGGTGGTGTTGTTAGGGGCTGCCCTGTAACAGTGCTTTTGGCTGGGTCTCAGGGATAGAGTTTGCCCAGAACCTAGGCTCCTTTCTCCCTTCCTTGGTATCATCCACTTCTAGGCAGGAGTTATTCTCATGGATGCCATCTGATAATCAAGACTTCTGTTTAAACAAATTGGGGGGTGGGGGGAACCCATATTTATCTAGGCTCTTTTGGTTCCAAGAGACTGAAATCCAACCCAAGGAAGACCTAATTTAAGAAACAACTCACACAACAAAGCAGGTCTGTTCTGGCTTCAGAACTGGCTGGTTTCTGTGGCCCCACATGACTTCCAGTGTACAGGTGTTCACACGAAGTAGTGGGCATCTCCCTCCATCTCTCAGCTCTGCTTTCCTTGGCATTGCCATCACCCTCAGCAGGCTCTCCCTTGCACTCACCAACACCAAATCTGGAGGCTCTTAAAGCAGTGCATGCCAGCTTAGTGATGATTACAAAGTTTCAGGAAAAGTCCCAGAGCTCTCTTTCCTTTGGCCCCTGCATCAGAAGTTCAATCCTGAACCATTCTTTGTCACATTCCCACACTTGACACACAATCAGGTGTGACATGGCCCTTGCCCCACCAGAACCAAGCAGTTTGGAGGGAAAGGCACGCCCAAGAACAGGCATGCTGAGACCAGCATAGTTCTGAGGGTGCTGGGATAGACTGAATTCAAGGCATAAAGGCTTTGGATCATTTAGTGATTTAAGTTAGGAATTCTTTGGGCTGTTTGGGCTCTTAGGAATGCCTGGGCCATGCTCCCTGGCACATAATGTTTGCCACCTAATGCTTCAGTATACAACCTGTGTCCTGTCCCTCACCACCCCACCCCCATTATCCCTGAACCCCCCCCCCACTTGCCGCCTGAAGCACAGCTGGCCTCAGAAGAGTTTTGCCGTGTTATATGTATAGAGACTTCTCTCCCTCATTTCCTGGGTTCCTTCAGGACAAACAATCCTCCACAAAGATAATAACAACAGAATCTTAATGAGCACTTACTATGTGCAAGGACATTCGCTACACCACTGAATCCTCATCACAGCTCTTGAGATCGCTCCTACATTACTTCCAGTTTACAGGAGAGAGAACCAAGATTCAGAGAAATAAAGTATCTTTGTCCCACTCTGTATGGTCTCTCGAAAGATTTTTCTGGTAATTTTTTTTTGTAATTATTTCTCAATGGTTTTTGAGGGCAAGTGAGGCTAAAATATATGAACTTGTGATTTATTTGACCCCACAATCCATTGGGTTATTGACAGGCAAGTCAAGAGAGGCTTAAAGAGGATAGCAACCTGCCCCAAATCACATGACTTTGGAGCTATGGAGCCTGGATTTGAACCAGGTTTGACTTTCCACAGCACCAAAGCTGTGAATAAATTGTCAGACAAAGGAGGAGGAAGAGGAGGGCATAGAAAGAAGGAAGAAGAGGGAAAAAGAAACTATGGGGGGAGAGGAAAGGAGGAAGGGAACCAGAGTTAGCCAGAAGGGTGAGGAGAAAAAAGTCCTCAAAGTGGATTCTTGACTTATTCAAGGTCTATTTGTTCAGTTCTTGGGATGGGACTCTATGCCTCTCTCTCCAGGCTCAACTACCCTGACTCTTGGAAGATGGTTTTGGCTCCCTGACAAGGATGTGGAAAACATGAATATTCCAGGCATCTGGCTATGGGAACAGAACCCTGACCTTGGCTGTTACATGCACCCATGGGGAAGCTTCCAGAAGATTGGGAGCAGTAGTATCAACATGGAGTGCCTCAGGCACTCTGGTCCCCCTTCCTCAGCCTACTTTCCTCCAGGCTATTGCCTGCCCAGGTTTAAACCTTTCTCTCCAAATGAAGAGGCTCAGACTCACCTCTCTTACCTCTCCCCAGCTGACAGGTAAGGGCTATCCTCAAGGAGTCCAAAGGGCAAACTTAGGAATCAGCTCTGCCCAAGTGGCCTGAGTTACCTTCACACCCTGCTCCCCAACTAGCAGGGACCCCCTGGTCAACCAAAAATTTGCATTTATGTCCCCTGGAGTTGTGTGATGACTCTCACTTCACTTTCCTGCCTCTGGGGGGCGCCTATAGCACTATTCCCTGGATCCCTGAGGAGGCTGCATTCCGGCCTCAGCTCAGCTGGGATCAGGAGTTTCCAAAAGTGTGAGAGAGTCTAGCACCCACTGGTGAAATGAGAGCCCAGGCTCTGGAGACACACAAGCCTGGGGTGCCAGGACTGCCTCTTCTGTGGGATCTTAAGCAAGTTATTTAGCCTCTCTGAGCTTGAGTTTCTGGATCTTTGAGGTCAGAGGGGTGTCAGGTCCCTTGTGATAGTGTCAGGATGAACCGTGTCGGGAAGTAGCTGGCACTTAGTCAGTAAGGGTGGTCATTGATTTTATCTGTATTATAAGCCCTGCTCCTCCACTTTTCCTCCCTCATTTTACTCTCCACCCCAGCTGAGCCAGGGGCTCGCCAGGCCTCTGAGTTTGCCCAGGCCCCTCGCCCCTTGCTTGTGTTGGCTCCCTGTCAAGAATGCTGGCTTGGGCCTGGGAGGCTGACTGACCTCCGACTCCAAAGGGAACGTCGCACTTTTGCTCAACTCCCAGGAGCAGCCTCGCATTCCATGCGGGGCGTGGGAAGGGCCAGGCCTTCCCCAACTGAGCTGAGTGGGAGCTGCCTGCTGCCTGGCCGTCCCTCACCCACAGCCTCTGTGCAGACCAGTTTCCACCTCAGTGTCCCCCCAGGGAGATGCACTCACCACAGAGGCATGGAGATGGGGTCTGGGAGAAGAGTGTCATTGCCACCATAGAATGAAAATACCAGGAAATTTCCAGTGATAGCTCTCTGGCCTTCCCCAGCCAGCCCAGTCTCCTAGCCAATTGCCTCTCCCAACTTCCACAAAAAATGAATTTTCTTCATTATTCTTTGAAAACCTTTATGACAGGTAGTCTAGGACCACCTAGACCCCACTCCAGGACTAGGCCTCCTGACACAGACCTGTTGACTTCCACTGTGGGGTTGAGTTGGGGTTGTTCTTAGCAGAGGCCCTGGCACTAGGGAAGGCATCCAGGAGTGGGGCCTGTGCAGTGGCCAACAGAGGAGGTGGTCTCAGCACGTGCTGCTCAGTGGAGCTGAGGCCGGGGGCCAGAGGCCGGAGGGCAGCCTGTGAGAAAAGCTGCCCAGGGCGGGGGCAAATGTCCCATTAGACACTTTCTTTCAACTACCACCAGCCTCTCTACCTCCAAGAAGCTCACTGGCTCTGCTGAATGGTGGTTCCTGGGCAGGCTTCCCTCAGCAGACTGGGAACCCCTAACTCTGCAATGAATAGATTGGCAAAAGGCAGTGGAGTAGCCCAGGCAGGAGACTGGGAGACAGGATGGCCTTGGGGCAGGGACCCCATCCCTCTCGAGGCTGGATTTTCCTATTATTATCAAAAGCCAGTGAACCTGAAGTCCTAAGGTCCAGGAGAGGGAGCTTTCTGGGCACCTGCCTGGAGGAATCAGGGGTTTTGTTGTGGGTTTTGGGGTTTTTTGGTGGTTTTTTGTTTTTTTTTTTTTTTTTTCGGTTTTTATATTAAGAAGATGGTACCCTCTAGTGGCCATAGTGAGAAGCACAAAGACCTGAGCCAGGGAAATTAGCACAGGGGCTGGAATGGTGCAGAGACTGGACCTCAACCAACTCCCAGCACGGCCTGGACATGTCACCAGATGACCTGGTCGGATGACTCGGGGACTGGGCTCAAATTCCACCTGAGTCTGGGGTTGGTTGGAGCTGAGGCAGTGGTGGCCTGGGCCTGGGACCAGAACCAGTTCCTTCCCCAGACTCTGCCACACATCCGGATTGGTACGTGATCCCTAACTCTGGCCCCCACCTTCAGCCACTGGTCTGACCAACCGAGCTTAACTCACACATTCAACCCAGTTGCATTTCATGTGAAGAACATGAAAATAAAACAAATAGTAAAAAAAAAAAAAAAATGCAACATAAAGGAATCCTCCAGGCTTTTGCTAAGTGGAAAAAGCCAACCATGGAAAGAAAATTACTATATGATTCTGCGAACCACAGGGACAGAAGGTAGAATAGGGATTGCAAGCAGGTGGGGGTAGGAGGGGGAATTAGTGTTTAATGGGGGCAGAGTTTCAGTTTGGGAAGATGAAGGGTTCTAGAGGTGAATGGTGGGAGTGTTTAAACACCAGGGTGAACGGACGCAATGCCCCGGAACGGGACACTTAGAAATGGTTAGGTAGAAACTTTTATATTATGTGCATTTTACCACAATTTTTAAAATTGTAAAGAAAAAGAAACCTTCATACACAGATGAGGAACGGCAATGATGCTAAAACTGCCCTGGTCTGTTGGGGGTGCCATGCCGAATATCACAAGCTAGATAGCTTAAACAGCAGAGATTAACTTTCTCAGTCCTGGAAGTCAGAAGTTCAAGATCAGGATGCCGTTAGGGATGGGGTCTCAG